TATGAATACGTAGGCACACCTCTCTGCGTGTGATTTACACAGCCTTCCTAAAAATTTCCTGTAAAGAGTCATCCAATGTTTATTCTTCTTTTAATGAAAATTCCATCTAATCTAGAATTTATTGGCTCCTGTTCTGTTAATAGATTGCTAGTCCCTGCAGCAGCCTCCTGTATCTTAATTAAAAAGTTTAATTTACAGAGCAGGAGATAAAAACTTTTAAAGTCAGTCAGTCACAGCCAGGATAGGTGTGGCTAGGGCTGCATAAACAAACAAGTGATTTAACTTCTAAATAGCAGTGAATTGAGCAGTGAGACTTCAGAGGCATGATCAATACACCAAACTGCTTTATTAAGCTAAAGTTGTTTTGGTGACTAAAGTGTTCCTTTAAGGCTATCCTAGACTAAATATAAGGCCAAGGACTAATGAAAGTATTTAGAAAATTGGGCAGACTACATGGACCAAATGGTTCTTATCTGCCGTCACATTCTATGTTTCACCCATTACAATCCATTATGAACACCGCAGTCACACTTACCTACTCAATTTCCCATTTTCTTTTCAAATCTCATTCTCTGTAGATATTTACATCGTCGTAGCAGACTGATTCCCAATCTATGCGGTTGTCCAAACCCCCCTTGTTTGATTCTTGAATGGACGATGTGTGGTCTCCCTTTTATACCTCCCCGCACACTGATCACCCCTGGAAGTTAACCGCAAACAAGCAGTTAACATCAGATCTTTCCCTGGGTGGCTGCTATTCGTATAAATGAACACGTGCTCCAGTGAATGGCAGCCATTTTGTCTCCCGAACACAGGCAGCGGTACCTGGTTGTGGAACACCTGGAACTCTTTTTGGCTACGCGATCCCGCGAACCCGGACAACGATTGTAACACTGCCCATCACTTCCAGACAAACTAGGTGAACGAAGTTCAGAAGATAGGAACTACCGACTGGAGGGGAGCATTCGCTACCTAAAAGGCAGGGGATCATTCTTTGGTTTTCGCACACCGAAAGTAGACCAGCCGTGGCCCCCTTTTCTCTGGAACTATTTTGGGCTATAACCTTGTGGCTGGCCAGCCGGTCAGAACTTTACCGAAATGGCGATTCCGTTCTACCAAATGGATCTGAGTGCTATTTGGACAACTTGGGACTTTCAGATCTGGGCTAGTCAGGGATAAAAGACTTGGGTTCTTGTGGAATATGACTGTTTTTGGGGTGTTTTGTGCATTTTTTTTATTTAGTTACCTGTAACTGACACCGGGATGCCTGGGAGGGGTTTGTGTTGTATTGAATGGAGATCCCATGCTGGGGGTTTGTGCTGAATAAATCAGTTGTACTCCCAGAACTGTGTGTAGTCCAGTTACTGGTGAGGGAGAGAACTATTCACTTCACAGTGCCTTGTTCCTGAGTTCCAGTTACTATGGATCCAGCGGAGTAGAGTCCTAGGACTAGTGATGACTAGGTCAGGATTAGTGCTCCGCTACAATCGTATCCCTATACTTTACTAGATTAAATCAAAATCCTAGTCCTTATCTATAGAGCACTTAGTAATAGTGCCACAGCCATATATCCTCCATAATACATATGAACCATTCTACTATGCCAATTACTTGCACCTCTCTTGGTTAGCACACAAACCACCACCTTCCATGTCAGTACTAAGATCTGCACTATTTTTATGGAATTCCCTTCTACAAATTCCCTATTAAATTATTTAAGAAAGCATTAAAAACCCGCCTCACCCACACATCAAGTGGCCAATTATCTTCTCTACTCTAAAAACATTCTCTTATTTAAATTAATTCAACCTTACTGTAATCACATACTGTTTGCAGACTTTATAGATGCAACCTATATTTAACATGAACAAAATATATTCTTCCAAGGGGACAGAGCTAGCAGCCATACTGTCTGGATGCATGTTGCAAGAGCTCCAGGTGGAAATAACCCAAGCTTGCTTGAAATGCAAGAAATTCATGTGCACCTTTTGAGCTCCATACTTACCTGCAGACATGGGGCGTCGGAGCAAGAAGTACAAACACAATCAACCCCTGTCAACAGCAGATACTGGCAACTTACTGTGGAGGCCGCAAAACTCGCAGAGGCCTGACATGACGCTGATGTCAGACGGACCCTTGCGCACATGTAGTGAGGAGTCCCTACTGGGTGTAGTGGCCCCGGGGACATGACAAGTGAACAGAGCCACCTACTCACTACCGCAACCATCTGGAAAATTTTCGGTAACAGAGGGCACCATGTGGGGCCTAAAAGATGAGCTATGCGAGAACATCATGGCAGACATTGGGCAGTTCTGTGAGGAAATCAATGGTGTCTCGGTGTCTCTCCACAATTCGGAGGTGACAACTAGAGCCCATGAGAGTACCCTGGAGCAGAAGCTCACCACGGTATTAAAATCACGGGCGCAAAAATAGCAGTACTCGAAGGCTAGCGCCGCTTTAAGAATATTAAAATCTGCAGCCTACCTACCAATATTGAACGTATTCCTATGACTACTTGCCGTATTGTTCAGAGCTAAATAGACCAAATCAATGCTGCAAGATGGAGGCTACCGAATTACAGGGCCACTGGTCGGTGCAACGGGAGCAGGCAGAGATGTAATTCTACGGTTTCAAATGAGCCAAGACCGAACAACCTTCATGGCAGCAGTTCACAACAGATCACCTCTCAAGTTGGAGCACACCCTTACCTCTTTTGCGGATCTGTCTAAGGCCACCATGGACAGGTGACAGTTCTTGAGACCCCTGACTCAGGAATTCCCTACCAATAAGGTGCCCTATAAATGGAGCACCCCCCATTGCTTGCTTACACCCAGGGTCTCGGGAACACTGTGAGTCTGTGATGCATCGAAGACAGCCATCATCCTGTAACAACCTGGCTTGGCTACAAGTGCCACTGGACAGTCAGCCATAGCACCAACAACATCCACTACCTGAGACCCTCAGATGCCTTGGCAACCCCAGTGCCATGACTTGCGGATAGAGATGAGCAAACCCGAACTGTAAAGATTTTTGGACCCCGAACCTGAGCCTGGATATTTCAGTGACAGTTCGAGTTCAGTGTTCAGCGATTTAATGATGCGTTTTGAAAAGCTACATGGCAGCCAATCAACAAGCGTTTGACTTGTGTGCCCTTAGAAGCCATAACAGCCATGCCTACTAATCAGATGGCTGTGATTGAACAGTGCAGCATGTGACCCAGCCTCTATATAAGCTGGAGTCACATGAGCTCTTATTAGTGTAGGGAGAGGATGCTGCAGCTGTGAGGGACAGATTAGGAAAGAATTCTGGTGTTGAATCTGCAAACTACAGCAATTATTTTTGTGGGTGCTATACTACATTTTTGTACCCTGCCCTGAGCCCAGTGCCACAAAGAAATAAGCAATCAGTCTGTTTGTTAGGTGGGCACTTGCAACTGCATGTGTGCCAGGCACATAACTTTAATCCTGTTCTGGTAGCTCAGTGGGCAACATCTAGGCATTTTTTAATACTGCTGTAACATTGCAGTTTGACAAATTCAAATTTTTTTGGTGCTAAAAAGTACATTTGTGGCATGCACTTCATATCTGAGAGTCAAATAGAACCGTCAAATACTGCTGTGACATTGCAGTTTGAAAAATTCACATTTCTTTGGTGCTAAAAAGTAAATTTGTGGCGTGCACTTCATACCTGAGAGTCAAATATAACCGTCAAATACTGTGGTTACATCGCACTTTGAAAAATTCACTTTTTTTTTGGTGCTAAATAGTACATTTGCGGCCTGCAGTGCATTTCGTGCAGTGAAATAAAACCATTAACTACTACTGTTACATTGTTGGTTTAAAATAAAATCACACTTTGTTTGCGGCCTGCGGTGCATTTCTTGCAGTCCAATAAAAATACAAATAAAAATAATCACTGGAGAGAAAGAGGAAGTACCCCCCTACCCACCCGCGATCCCTGGCCCTGAATGCCAGCATTTCAAAATTCCTGGCCTTTGAAATGCTGTCATTCCGTCTGGTGGAGATGGACAGTTTTAAAAACCTGATGGCGGTGACTGTCCCACAGTACGTGGTTCCCAGCCGCCACTACTTTTCCAGGCGAGCCATCCCTTCCCTGCACAACCAATTGGTGGACAAAATCAGGTGCGCACTGCGCAACTCCATCTGTGGCAAGGTCCACATAACCACAGATACGTGGACCAGTAAGCACGGGCAGGGACGCTATATCTCAACAACTGCACACTGAGCAAATGTAGTGGCAGCTGGGCCTGAGGCAGATAGCAGTTTGGCGCATGTCCTTCTGCCACCGAGGATTTCAGGGCATTTCTATTTGCCTCCTGTTGCCTCCTCCTACTCCGCTTCCTCCTCCTCTACCACCTCCTCATCCGGTCAGCATAACACCTTCACCACCAACTTCAGCATAGCCAGGAGGAAACGACAGCAGGCTGTTTTAAAACTCATATGTTTGAGGGAAACAACCCACACCGCACAGGAGCTGTGGACGGGCATGGAACAACAGATCGATGAGTGGTTGTTGCCACTGAGCCTCAAGCCCGGCCTGCTGGTGTGCGATAATGGGTGAAATCTCGTAGCAGCTCTTGGCCTAGCCGGTTTGACGCACATCCCATGCCTGGTGCATGTGCTGAATTTGGTAGTGCAGAAATTCCTGAAAAACTACCCAGATATATCAGAGCTGCTGCAGAAAGTGCGGGCCGTCTGTGGCGTTCTCACCCTGCTGCTGCTCGCCTGTTTGCGCTGCAGCGTAACTTCGGCCTTCCCGTTCACTGCCTCATATGCGACGTGCCCACAAGGTGGAACTCCACCTCGCACCTGCTGGAGAGACTGTGCGAGCAGCAGCAGGCGATAGTGGAGTTTCAGCTGCAGCACGCACGGGTCAGTTGCTCTGCACCAGACTTGCCCTCCAATAGATCCTCCTTAAAGGATTTAAAGTGTACTTATTCCAATTACAGGGCCTCAAAAGAGTCCTGTATTGTTATTTATCGTCACTACCTCCCCGCGTCAGGACTGGGTAATTTGCACGCCTGCTGCCTTCTTTGGATGTGGTAACTGTTTCTCAGGCTTCCTCTCCAAAATCGAACCCTGATTCCCAGTTACCCGTGGTCACCATGGTAGGCGCAGAAAGTACCATCGAAAGTTGATAGGGCAGACATCCGAATGTGTTGTCGCTGTCAAGGGGACGTGCGATCCGAATGCCTGCGCAACGACTGCCATGTTGCCCACATTCTAACTTGTGCTGATTACTGGGTGGCCAGCCTGCTGGATCCCTGTTACAAGGACAACATGCCGTCCTTAATTCCCTTACTGGAGCGTGATCGGAAGATGCACGACTACAAGCGCACGCTAGTAGACGCGTTGCTGAGGGCATTCCCAACTGACACTGGGGGCTCAGTGGATGCACAAGGCGAAGGCAGAGGAGGAGGAAGAGGTCGCCAACGCAGCTGGGGCACCACCAGCACCTCAGAAGGCAGGGTTAGCACGGCCGAAAGGTGGAAAAGCTTTATCAGCATGCCACAACAACCAGCACCACCAGCTGATATGGAACGTCTTAGCAGGAGGCAGCATTTCAGCAACATGGTGAAACAGTACGTGTGCACACGCCTACACGTACTGACTGATGGGTCTGCCCCATTCAACTTCTGGGTCTCCAAATTGGGCACATGGCCTGAGCTTGCCCTTTATGCCTTGGAGGTGCTGGCCTGCCCTGCAGCCAGTGTATTGTCTGAACGTGTGTTTAGCACAGCAGGGGGTGTTATCACAGACAAGCGCAGCCGACTGTCCACAGCCAACGTGGACAACCTCATGTTTATTAAAATAAACCAGGCATGGATCCCACCAGACTTGTCTGTACCTTGTGCAGAATAGACATTTATACCAGCCTCACCCAGCCATTGTTATACTCAAGTGCACTTATTCTTTGTTTTCTTTTTGTATATGTCCCAATATTTTGGGGGCTACCCCAATTGTTTGCAAATGCACTTGTACTACTCTTACTCCCATTTTACTTCCTTTTGCAGCCCTCTAGCCCTTTCCAGGACTTTTTTAGAGCCATTTTAGTGCCCAAAAGTTTGGGTCCCTATTGACTTCAATGGGGTTCGGGGTCAAGTTCGGGTCAAATTAGAGAACAAACTCAAACTTTTTGCCGAAGTTCAGCAGAACCTGAACATCCGGGTGTCCGCTCATCTCTACTTGTGGATCATGTTATACACTATACTTTGCATGTTTCACAAGTTTATTTAATTTGCTTTTCAGTTTACAGAAATTTTAGTGTTCCTACTTAAATCTACGGAGTGCTCTCAAGCATGTTATTTTCCACACCTCAAGATAATTATCTAGCTGACAGGCTGTTGACCTTAGGTCCATCAACTCCTTCACACCCACCTCCCCTGCGATCTAGCAGCCCTCATAGCTGATTATTCACTGGCAGGGATTATTGGCCTCTGTAGCTCTCATAGTTTTCTACCTCCTACCACCTTATGCACCCGGAGGCATATGTTGCTTCATGCCCTTACACAACTTTTTCAATTCATATCTCTCATCTCCTTAGGGCACGAGGAGATCTCCACATCACAGCCCAACACCCAGGCACCAATCCTGGGACCCAGATGCTGGTTCATAAATGAGCTGGATCCAAGGGCGCAGAATGCAGACTTGTACAGGGACCTGGGGCTGGTGGAGCAGAGGGTGGTGAACTCAAGCTTGGACTCGAAGCTCACTGTTTTTCAACAGGCTTGGGATTGGGACAGGTTTAAGGGCCATAGAGGGCGGATGGATAGTAAATGTGTCCTCACCTACTTCATCCTACCTTGTATCTTACTTTGTCTTACTTGTGAAATCCAGTGGCTTACTAATCATTCCGTTTCCTTTTCCTTTCTCTCCTAGCTCCCTACATGCTAAAATGTCTTAAATCTTGATTTTCCATAATGCTAACATGCAAGCATATCTGGAGCCTGAGTTTCTACACAAGTGTTTGATTTTGCAGCCAAGCATTTAACTGTGTTCTGCCATGCATACTGAAAAAAAAGCCTTTAGTTTTTACACAGCAGACTTACAGTAACATTATGGCTCAACAAATGCTTCATAACCTTGCCTTGTAATTCAGTTCCATGCTTCTTTCATTAAAAGAACATTATAGGCACCAAGACCACTTCAGCACATTAAAGTGGTCTGGGGGCAGTGTCTTAAGTCCCTTAACCCTGCAATGGTAATTATTGCAGTTTCCAAGTAACATCGGCAGGAGAGTAGTGAAGTCAGAGCCTGAACAAAAACCAAGGGACATCGGCGCTAGAATCAGGTAAGTGACAGAAGGGGGTTTAATTAACCATAAATATGTAATAAAAAAGACACTTCTCACTCACTGATATGATTGTGTAATTATGTTTTGCATCAGGAATAGATTAACCCTAAAGTGCATGCAGGGAAGCACACACCATGGAGTGACCTCCGCATACCTCTGGTAATCTTCTGATGGAAACAGACCTGACCTCCCAGATCGCGACGGACAAGGCCTCCAACAGAACTGGGGCTCACTCACCTGCTTTTCCCCTGCTGCAACATCACCAGCCCATGAATACAGAGACTGGGGAAGACTGCTGCAAGCTATGCCCACACGTGCTGATTTAGCGGCCGCCAACAGCACACTGCAAGCCTCAATCCAGCTGGACATACAGGCCCTCAGGGATGACATCCAGGGCCTTGGAGACCGTGTGTGCCGTGTGGAAGCCACCTGCAATCAGCCCATCCCTCCCCTCTATCCTCCTATTCCTCCCTCCCCTTCCCAGCCTCTCTTCCCACTCCCCCTCTCGCACACTCCCTTTTCTCCCCATCCTTCTCTTCTTACACCCTTCCTTCTCCCCCTCATACCCTCTCTCCCTTCCCTTCTCTTCCCTCCTTCTCTTCCCCCTCCCTTGCTCCTCTCACACCCTCCCTTCTCTCCCCCACAACCCTTTCCTGTGACGTGCATCAGGAACACACTACACTCAGAACTGGACTTACCATCAAACTTGGAGACAACTGCACATACTGACCTACCTGTACTGTGACTGCTACCCATTACATGACCTGGCACGTACCATGTAGATTGCGGCGGCACCTCAACTTACATTGATGTCGCTGAACTGTCTGCCTCACCTGACAAAATCAGGCTCCTGCTAAGAGTAATGGACTATGGCCAATGACACAAGGTGGCAGCGATATTCCAAACCGTGAGTGATGCTGTTCCGCACGCACCTACAC